TTTGTTGATTACTAACTTGCTAATACTGACTGATAGCCTTTCCCACTTCACCTCTTGGAAAAGAGGAAGTAACAGATTACACATGCTTTACTGAGAAACAGGACAGAGGATATAGACAACATCTGAAACAACTGGAAAAACAAACAAATAAAACAAATACTTTCACATTAGATCAATACTGTGTACTTTCTCATTTCTACTATATGCATTTAGTATGCCATGACCAAAAATTTGCTCCTGAGAAAGATACTGACTATAAAAACTCAGCTCACATCCATTAAAGCAAAAAAGAATACAGGTTTTTTGCATGTCCCACAGGGTCTTAACTCCAAACAAGAAAAGCACTTAATGAGCAACTGGTCAAGTGTGAATTTGGACTTCGCACACCTCTGTGCATTTGAGCCACTCCAAAAAATGCTGACAAAGAGATTTTTACATGTCATTAAAGAACAACATACTTTCCAAAGGTTTTAACAAATTTTCAAATATCATTTCACCTGATAGGATGGAAGATCATGTTTATTTTTACTAGAAGTGAAGGAGAATAGGGGGGGAAAAATGAAGACTTTCACCACCATCACACTTACATGTGGATAAAGATGATGATAATATACAGTGTTGATATCATCTCTTGTTCAGTAACAGGGATGATCACCCCCCCTTCAAATGAGCTTACTGGAGTAACATTTTCCACAGAACACATACACTTCTGCAGAAGATATGTTACAGTTCCGGACATGGGAGATACGACTTCCTCCTTTCTCTTGGAGGCTTATATTTCTGAAAGTAACCAGGACTTTGAACAGGGGCATTAGGCAGTCAAGTTTCCATTTCCTGAGATTTCAAGTGTTATCCTGTAAAACAGCAGCAACGTAGCAGGGAGAAAATTAGAAACATTTTTTAATCATTCTTTGAGGACCATCCCCTGCCACAGCCCCAAGATTAGATACGAGAAAACTGTGAAAAATATTAAAAAAATGGTTTTGCTAGTTACAGTACACAGGAATGACTGATGCAGGCTTGTACTTATTAGGTATAAAACATGCTTGTGTGCTAGAAAACCCTTCTTTTCCCAAAAGGGATTAGGTAGGGAAGCATGGTTGTGCAAACAAGGTGGCCAAGATCTTATTCCCCCTGGTGAGAAAAGATGAGGTAAATTTCTTTCTTCCACACATGCTCACCCGGATACAATTTGAGTGCAGAGAACTACCTCTCCCTTGAATTCTAGGCAAAAGCAGTGAAGCAACAAGCTTTACTTTTTCCTCGCTGCAGAGGCAAAGCCGACCTGCTAAAAGAAAAGGTCTTTCCCCTAAAGCTTTCACAAATATTTGAGGGGAAGACACATCACATACCAAGTACCTGAACTGCCCTGAGGACTTCCAAGAGACAGTAACAGAACAGGTTACTCTGTACCGCTCCCTCTGAGGAAAACAATCAAGGTTGCAACAGTACGGTCTGCAGGTGGCTGCAGATTCAAAGATAAAATCATATTGATGCCACTTCTTTCAAAGGTTCTTGTAACTATGAACACTAGAGAAACTTCTTAGTTTGATTTCAGAAACCAAAATTGCAGTTCAATTTTGCAGCAAGCCGGTTTCCATGGGAGCAAAATTCTAATTAATAAACTTCCAACAGTGTGCTGGGAGGCCAGTGACTCTGAAGAAAACTAAACGAGACCTCATTGCAGACCAGCAAGTACAGCGTGAAACAATGTATAATAGTATTACTATGAAAAAGAAATATAAGACAAGGGGGGGGGGGGGGGAAGCCAGGAAGAAGTTTTGGCAGAGATACCGAGGAGCTTTATATTATAAAAGAAATACTAAAATAATGAAAACTGGCAGAGGAACACTTAAAAGGCACTAAGGAATATTGACACTCAAATTGGAAGTAAAATATTGGTACTGAAGAGACTAGCAGAAAATAAAACTCTTCTGTGTTCATTAACCAAGCAACACAGAATGCAGAGTCAGATCCAGTACAATCTTTTCTTCGAGTTATTCTGAAAACACTCAAGGGTGTAGGAAGGAATAAGAGGAACAAAACTTTTTTTTTCAGAATATATAAATATGCATAGAAGTGATACAAAACAGTATATTCATCTCTAAACCCAAACTGTAATCTTTCTGAAACAGCTCTTAAGACTACAGAAAGCAAACTAAGATGAAAATTTAAGGTATTGTATCATAGTAAGAACAATAACAGGAGTGCCACATGCAAATTTTCACAGCCAAAATGAAAGCAAAAAGTACTGAAAGTTTGCTCATTAACTACAGCTGTATCTGAAGATGAGGCAAGGAGGAATACAAGATACTTCTCTTCACAGAAACTCACCAATTTTTTCTCAAGAAAATAAACACCACACAGCTCTATTTCACTGACACAGGCTTTACAAAACAAATTCTTGTAACAGCAATCAGTAATGAAATCCAACCAAAATTTGTCATTTTAAGAGTACAGATGAAAATGTAGAATCAAATAGCAGCTCAAGATGAATTTCATCAAGAAACTAGAGATGGCAGCAAAGTCTCAAGCTATTAGCTGAGAGTAAAAGTTAAATTAAAAGGAAAGTACTGAATAAGTCTTACAGCCTTGTTCAAACAGTAAACATTTCAAGTTGGTTTTCTCTTTTTCCTTTTTTAAACAGTGACAAGATAGAAAAAAAAAAGGAAACCCATTAGAAAGAAAAGGTATAAACCACAGTAAGACTTCACTTTCAAACACAAGGACTTCACAGATCAATCTTCAGCCCATATCAGAAAAAACATTTTTAAGCAGCTTTCAAGGAAAATGAGTATTTAAACCTATCACGTATCAATGTACTCAGAAGTCACCACTGATTTCTGAGTGTTCCAACCATGTATCTGAAACCACATTTCAGGAATGCATTAGTCTCATGCTTTTCTGTGGCTTTGCAACCCTAATGAATACTGAAAAATTTGGTACAGGCTCAGTTGCAGGAAAAGAATTCCTACCTCTTAGTCTTCTGCAACACCTAGTTTTTCTTTAAAAATACATTATTAGTAAAGGAAGCTAAGCTCTATTCTGAAAAATCGCAAATATTCAGGGAAAGAATCTCAAAAGTTTCACAAAGTGATCTCAGATTTCTGCTAAACTGCCTCCTGAGAATACTCTAAAATGCTACACACTTCTGAGGTTGCTATTCAATTCTAAAAGAAAAGGATCCTCGCATATTGAAAAGTTCTGTCTCAACAGCAACAAATAGCTCAGTATCTCACAACTAAGGAAAACACCAAAACCAACAGTTCTGCTATGTATTTTGTCAAGCTACTAACTGTGACATGTTCTCAGAACCAAACTGACAGCCCATGTCCAGTACAGCAGCATCTGCTACTCTCTCATCAGTGTTTGGAATACTCACTCTGAAACTGGGAGGCACATATTCAAGTCCTTCCCTAACACACAGCACCTGAAAAAGCACTCACCAGAACACATGAGAACCAAAGGTATTCTCAGCACTGCTGGCTGTTGTTTTATGGAAATATTTAATATTCATCAGACCATTAAGAAGGGAAAAGCAACATCCACAATGATCATACTCACTAAGCAAACAGAAATCCGATTCCCAGTCCCTGTTGTGAGAATTTTACTTCATACACACAAGGAAACCAACTCTACAGCCAGCAATCTATTTGAAAACATTCCTAACCAGCAGAGCAGACAATTCAGACTTCCGAACACTTTAAACAACTAAAAAACTAAGAATTAAAGAAAGACGATATGTCTGCAAGAGTTCAGAAAGTATCCTGCCTCAATGACAGCTATGAAGTATCCAATACTTGCCAATTGGAAGGACCTGCAGCTAATTAAAAAAAAAAAAAAAAAAGACACACTCAAGATCTAAGATTAGAGATCCTGATATTTTAAGCACCCTGTTTACTTTAAGAATAAAGAAGAGAGAGGAACATGCTTTAAAGATAATTGAACCTTAGGGGCTGGAACATCGGAGAAACCTATCTAACAGGTAACCATTTTTTCATAGAGGGGAAAAAAAAACAACCAACAAACAAACAAACCCAAAATATAAACCATAAATAAAATCTTAAGCTAATAGCTGTAACAGCAAAACAGTTCTGTCTGACCTTCAGTTTGAAAGCCCCTTTTGCTGCTTTCATCTCTCTGGTGCCAAAGCTCTGGAATTAAGACACTTGTAGGAGCACACTAAAGAAGAGATTAGCTCTAGCTTGGGGGTTGTAGAAAGAAAAACAGTGTTTTCTGTAAGCCGAAGTTGGTACTTTTAAATCTAAACGATCTAGATATACTAATACAGAACTTTTCTTTATTAAAAAAAAAAAAAAAAAGGAGAGCAAATATCTTAATTGAAACAAGTTCCTGACTAATGCAATACATTTTAGATTTAGGTTTAGAGCAAAACAAAATCTGAAGGAAAAGGTAGCTCAGGAATATTTTGAATTTCTTCAGTTTTCCTAAATATCTTATCAGTACTTTTGCACACAATCACACCAGAACCAGCAGAAACACACTGAGATTTGGCTTCTATAAAGATTAGAAGCACTCACAAATGTTAAGCATTTTTGTAGTTCAGAGTACATTCAACTGTTAATATTCAAGTCCTGAAGGACCAAACAAAATACATGCACACTTCAAAAGCATCTAACCATGTCATAAGCTAATATGCTTCAAAGACTTAGTTCAAACATTCAAAAAACACAAATCCCACATTCACACTTTGCCTTCCTAATTTTAATTTGACTCTATTGTGTATTCAATTTAAATCCTAAATGAGGTGAGGTCCTGACAAAGTTAGTGCTTAGTTTTAATTATGAGGAATGTCTATGTGTAGAGAAAGAAGGAAGAAGCAAATTAATAACTTGAAAGCAACTGTGATTTTTGTATGTGTGTATCTGTTAATAATTTTTTGTTAATTTAAAACTTTTCCTTAAAACAAAAACAAAACAAAACACAAAAAAATCCCCAACCAAACAAAAAAACTCTTTCCCTTTTCTTACTATTTTTGGATTACTGCAGAAAAGAGCTTGGAGGCTATCCTTCTGTTTAACATGTAAAAAAGCCAAACATGCTTCACAAAAAGCAACAACAAAGTGTTTTATGATATGGCCTTAGTAGTTCATTCTTGTCAAAGGTGAGAAGCGGGAAGCTGTCCTGCATGCTTCTCTCCCTCCATTCGTAAGTTTTCTACCTTGAGCTAGCCCTGACTGCAATGTAGGTCTTGTCAAGCCAGTGAAACCAGCAGAATAACAACCATTCAACAATTACATATTTTTGTAGTGCACCTGGCTTATACAGATCAGATGAATACTAAAGCTGGCATAAAGGAAGGGTGGGTATCACAGGGCATGAAACCACATAATTAGAGCAAGATCTCCCTCTTCTAGCAGCATCAAACTCAATTCAGCTCTCATCATAATTGAACTCATATGCTCACAGTGCCTCACACAGAGGCAAAAAGAAGAGAAAGGCTAATACTACCATGTTTATAGAATCTACAGACCAGCTACAACTAGATATTGCATTCCTCTGGAATCATGGTATTCTTAAAAAGGCTGCAGGATTACGGAGATGCTGGATTTAACCTCAATTCCCTTAACCTCAATTAGATGCTCTCTACTTAGACCAGTGCTGGCCAAACATATGTTTTCTCTAAAGCCATCTGAACCCAACCTATCTCATCCTGCTAGATTCAAGTTCAACCCTAGCAAACCTAAAGTGTTCCACAAAGATCTACTCTGTTCTAGGAAAAGTTACTAGGTCAGATTGATGCAGGAAAGATCCTATTACTAAAATAAATCATTCCCTACATTATTTTTTTTTTTTTTTTTGTAATCTTCTCAGGCTACCCTCATCCCTACTCTCTAGATCACCTTTTCATAACCAGTAAGAGGGGGGTGGAGGGAAGGTTTGGAGAGGGAAGTAGGATTGCCTCATTTGCTTCCTCACTGTCCCTTCCACTTACAGGTGTACAAATGCCTCTAACCAAGTGTAAATCGGTGCTTTCCTACTGTTCAGAACTGTTTCCCTCTGTTCAGTATCCAGAACAACATCTGGAGAAAAAAAAAAAAAAAAAAAAAAAAGTGGTCAGCTGACCACTACATTTGCAGCAACAGCTGCAGCATTTCCCTGGAGCAGGGTGGAAGTAAAGTAATAGGAGACTGTTTTGAATGGCTTCTCCGAGCTAGAACATCAGGAAAGCAGTCAAAGGTTTTATTCATAGACCCTCTCCCCAAAATAAAACTGAGAGAATAAAGAAGATAGAGAAACATGGCTGAAGACCTTGTCAGGACAAGTTAAACTTCTCTTCAGGAGAAATACTAAGAACTTTTCTCTTTTGGTTTGTGGTTTTTGTTTGGTTTTGCTTGTTTGTTGGTATTTTGTGTGCGTTTGGGTTTTTTCCCCTCTTGAAAGGGCAATGAACAAGGGACTACCTTTGTACAGATTGCTTTTATTTTTTTTTCCTCTTTAAAGACAACAGATTTAATACTGGGAAAATCCATAATGACTTCTGAAGGCACAAAAGATAAATGGATACTTTACATACTCATGTAAGAAGACATCTAGAGATAGATTTCATAAAGTTCTGAATATCTTAAAGGCCACTGTACCTGCAAAGCCTCAGCCAAGACATTTTCCCCTACCCCTAGAGCTCTTTGGATCAAAAATTTTGAAACGTGAACTACCTTCCAAACCCTGGTAACAGTGGGTTTAAATGAAGTCACCCAAGAACCATGTGTTTCCTAGAAAAGGAACACTTTAAAATTGTTTCTCATTCTCAAATACAGCAGAACTAACATTTTAATGAGATAAAACTAATTTTTCAGCTGAGCTGAAAGTGCTTCCTAAACAACTGAACTGAAACAAAACATACCTTATACCAGTTTAAATGCCCACTTATACCCAAGCTTCTACTTCTAAAAATTTTGTTCAGAAGCAAGTTCTTTACAACTTTCTTAATTCACATATCCCAGGAAATATACTCAATGTTAAATGCTAGGAGTAACTGCTTATATCCAGCTAGAAAATTAGGATGTTAATAAAAAATGAAATTGGAGTACCTGCAAGCAGTTACATACACCGTTGGGTTGCCAAAGAAGCAGGCGAAAGAACCACGTGAAAATCTATTTAACCAAATGCTATTTATAAACCTATGGTGGAAGGAAAACACAGAACTTAAGGGGCACACAGTGAACTTTGTAAATGTCTAAGAACTACACGTCAACTATAAATGTCTTCATATGGTGAAGACATATTTTAATTACTGATTTCTGAAACAGCAAAGTCAATACAGAAATTGACAAAATATTGACAATACAAGAATACTGACACATCCTGAGACTGGAAGGAAAGTACAGCCCCATTGTACCTTGAATATTGCAATAAAAGTCTGAAGGTACATAGTAACTTTCTGGCTACCCTTGCTCACACTATTTTAACAAACAGATACAAAAGTAAAAGAGCAAGGCACTTGTTAACCAAAGTACAGTCACTTCTGTCATTTGAGAATACATTAGGAAATAGTTCTTGGTCCTTTTAGTCCTGAATTTATGCTGTAACAGATTTCTAGTTGGTTCTCTGAAAAAGACATCTTTGTTTCTCATACAAACTGAAGTGAAAAATTAAACCCTTACTATGATGCAAAGGTCTCTTATGGTCAAGCTCCAAAAATTATTCCAAACTCTATTTAGCTGTTTTCATTTCAGAAAACGATACTGGCTAAGAATGGGGCTTAAACAGTAGTAACATTACTGTAACAGAAACACCAAAGCTTGTAGTGCACTTCTTTTTCTGACAAGGGAGGCATTATTTTCCCCAACAGACATCTCCCAAGAAACACTATAACTCACTCTGAATACAGCAGAAGTTCATTATAAGAAGTTACTAACCTGACACTCTAAAAAACAGTTCAGTTTACAGCTACATTGAAGTGAAGGTTCTCTCTTCCCATGCTTTCAGTGCCTTGCCTAGGTGTCCCCTTACATGCATATCTGACATATGCAAAGAAAGAGAAAAGGGTTTCTTGAGGTTCTTTCTGTGGGTGTGTATATATATATATATATATATATATATATAACTGATTGGTACACTATCTTCAGAGATCAGTCTAACTTTTTAAACGACTAGGGATGACAATCCTGGCCACACATGTAATGTACCCTGCAGACGTGTTTTTACACTGCATATTTAAAAAACAACAACAACAAAAAAATAACTCACTACTGGAAAGGGACAATTCATAGTTATTTTTATCAACTTCGAATTTGGCATAAAACACCTACTTTTAAGGACAACCACTTAGAATTCTGAAGTTACCATTCTTTAGATGATGCTCTACAGGTTTCTGAATAGTGATCTTTGGAAACATCATATTAGGATTAATACCTCTTCATTACTTTTCATTGTAGTGACATCTGTATGAGATTATAAAAAGGCCACTGTATCAGACAGAGAGCTTAGTAGATGAGTTTCTATTGACATAAAACGTGTCTTTTCTTTCCCTAATATTTCTTTATCCTAGAGCATTTTATCTTAAGCACTGTATTTGATTGAAGTGATTATCTGGGATAAAGCCCCCACTCTTGAAGGCAGCAAAGTTTCACACTATTTTAATAAAAAGATCAAGCTCTTGGAAATCTTCAAGACAAGGTAGCATTTATTTATTTTTTTTCTGTCCCACAACTTTCCACAGACAGCTGCTCCAGAATCTCAGTAGTAAATTGGTCTGAAATCTTCTAATTTTCAGTCTCAAACTACTCAGGACCAATCTGCACACATTTGTTCATCTGCTCTTACCTCCAAGGACTTCCTTCTCTTAGGTGTTTAAGCACAAAAACATATCTGTAAAGCACTTGCACGATCTTTCTCACTTTGCATTTTCTTAGATCAAGTTCCTTCAAACCCCCGTCTTAAGTGAGGCTTTACTTCCCAGTCATTACAGCGGTCTTGTTCACACCATATGGATTTATGTAAGAATGCAACTGCTTATCAAAACAGCACTAAAAAAAGCAACAGAAATGGAGAATACTGATTAAAATTTTGTAGTCTGCAACCAGGTATATTATTCAGTGTTCAGCCACAGTTGAACCTTTTAAGTATAAACAAGTGACTATTAAAGTTTCAATCCATAGCAGAATAACTTAGCTAAGGAGATATTCTAGCAACTACATACTTCAAACAATCTAACATTATTTTCCTGAAGAATGCACATTATGACCTTGTGCTTAAATCAAATATTCATTATCATCTGTTACATTTAAACACTGTAATACAGAAACCAGTGTACTAATAAAACATTCTCGTCTATTTCAAACAGTCTTAAAAACCCCTCAAAAGCTAAACTAGACAAATCACTTTCCATGTTCCAGAGAAGTTCTCTTCCCTCTCCCCACTTCCCAAACAGTGACATAACACAGTTGTTTCACATTTTCATTTGGTTTGTCAAAATTATACCCATCAGTTACCTGCATCACTTCACCAGGAGATGCAAAATTTCAACAGTGTATACAGAAAAAATACATTTGATAGTGAACAGTATTCTCACTCCTGTGCAGAGAAAATGAAGGCAACAATGAAAAGAAAGTATCACTGAAACCATCAAAATACTTCTAGATAGTTTTGTTATCACAATACTTCAAATTATAAATATTTTTCCTTGGACAAGGAATCCATGAGCTCTCTCCTTTCTTTCCTAAGCACTCCCAGTCTAAAGCATAAATATAAAGCATGTCCATGTCAAGGTAAGAGCTTAGGATGGAACTGCAACCACCATCCCCTTGCCTAACTTCAACAGGATACAAGCCTTCATACTTCAATGCAAAACAACCCCGTCCCCTGTCCTACCTAAAGACCTTGTATCCTCCTGCACATCTTTTGGAGTGTTCCGGCAGCGCTAGTAGGCTGCTGAAGAGAAACACCTGCAGGCTTCAGGCACTTAAACTCCTCTTTACTAGATGAGCCCAAGCAGAGAGAATTATCCTATCACAGGGGAAGGAGGGATGAAAACAAACTAAAATCCTCAAGCATGCAGTGCAGAGAAGGAATAGACTGATCCCAGATGTATTGCAGAGAACATCCTAAAAGCTACAATAGTAGTAGCACTGATCATCACGTTATACTTTGGTACTAAAAAAAACCCACGCTACTACTATGCACATTGATTGTTCATATATAATTCACCAATGGAAGGCAAAATTACAAAAATTACACTTTAAGTGACAATATGAAGACTAACGATTTCAACTGGGATCAATGCTCTTTTTAACAAGAGTAAACATTTATCAACTTTATCACACACTATTTACAACTAAAAACGTGGAGAATATTTTAAGCAGCCTGAAATCCTTTACAGTACTTCCCTAATGCTAACATAATTGGAGATGAATCTTAAGAGGTACAGAAACTCAAAACCAGATGACATAAAACGAAGTCCTTGCAGAACAAGGAGTGTATCTCATGTTCTTGTCTTCTAGATTCAATACCAACTAAACACAGGCATTCTGTCTTTGGCATAAATAAAACTTTTGCTATGTGTATGTGGAGTTGTATGACCAGTTTTCACCTCAGATGAATACCCAAGATGTTTCAACACTATACCTACTATGTTTCATAAACAAATAAATGCATTTTTCAGTGAAAGTGCTAATAAAAAAATAAAGTAGTACACTTAGAACGATTATCTGTGAACTGCCAATCAAATGCATCATCTAATCAACATAACAAAAGGCTTAAATATTTTGGACTATGTACTTATCCAACCCTATTCTACGATTCTATGATAATGTACAGGAAGAACCTCTTCAAAGTTACCTGGAAGAAAGTCTAGGGGAAAAAATGGCACACCTGTGTTTTCTATCACTACCAGTTTGTGTTTTTCTTCACCACCTGTTATCCCGACATATGTTAACATGTTTTTGAAGGCCAGTGTAAAAGTTCCAATTTACTTCTTGCTTGAAGTGTTTGTGTCAGTCAAGTCGGAAGACAAGACAGTAAACTCAGAACATAACACACCTGGAAAAATAAAGCTGCATGACTAACAATAGGATCATAAATGCCACTTTAAAAGTTCAATAAGAAATTCGTATTGTTATTCCAATTTTTATCTCCATATAGCTTTCAGCGACATAAAGGTATACTGGAAATATACGTAAATTAAGATCTCACTTTTTTTTTTTTTTTTTCGCTAAAGGAGACAAGCTAGAAGTTCTCTTTATTCCTCCTGGCCTTTCTTTTCAATATGAAAAATGCATGCTTGCAGAACTTAAACACATTAAATGTCACACGATAAACAGTTTATCATTGTCACTCCAATCAATTCATTCATATACTATTATATTGTAAGTGTTCCACACTCCAGCACACCAAAAGCTATTATCACTGCATTTACACAAAGTAAGTCTTACCAGTTTATTATATTTTAAAGTGTTTAAAGTTTATCCTAAAGATCAGAATATGCCTCAACAAATTGGACTGCATACTGTCAGCTAAGAAACTATCTCCTTATTTAACTTCTGAATTGCATGGGAACTTTGACTAAATATTCAGTTATTTTACAGGCAAAGATATCTTTCCCACACCCTTTGTGAAAATACCTTTTACTACCTTACATGACAGTGGTAACTACCTATTTAGGAAAGATAAATTACCTGGTTTAATATTTAATGTGTCCGAAACACAAATCAGGGCCAGATGTGCTATTTGCAAGAATTAAATTACTGTATCAATCAATGATAAATCACAAGAATGTGCAGACATTTAGTGGATGTTTCACTGAAAGAGGTTTAGCAAGATGCATACGTAGCAATTGAAAGCAGATTTACAGCATCTTTCCTCAAGTTGCTTCCAGGCAGCCAAGGTGGTACCCAAAATCTGTAAGCTAAATAAAGGTGCTGCATTCCTGGTTCCTTGGAATTCACCTGCACAGTACTGCAACAAAATAGGAATTACTCCTTATACAACTGTTCATGAAACTGTGTATTTATTTTAGCTGCCTCTTTTTTTTTTTTTTTTTTTTTAGAGGACTGACATGACATCTGTGAGGAAAAGCCTGAGCAATCACAACGGAGCTATCAGCCCTTCTCACCATCACTGCTGCTATTTTCAGTGATCCACCCTGTTTTTGCTACAGTATTCTTGGCGGCATTATGCCACCGTGATTCAGTATTTATCTGTTACATCTCGTTACATCACAACACTATCTATACTACCAAAATTTCATGTGGAACTTCTGCAGCTAATACTGAACCCCCAGTTTTTGAACACTTTCTTCAAAATTCTCAGATCACAAAACAAAAAAGCCATTTGAGGTGTCCAAACATCTGGACTCCTGTGAATCATCCATTCTCTAAACGGCTATGCGGTCACACATAATCACTGCACCTTCTTTCTAACAATAATTAGGTATGAATAAAATAGTGTGTGAACTGCAGTGGTTAGCATAAAACCACTCATAAAAGGAGTGTTCCAAAAATTGTCCACAAAACACGCTTAATAACTGAGTTTTGTTTCTGAGCTACAGAAGCTCCTCACCAACAATCAACATTACACTGAAGCAATTGCTTACCAATTATGGCAGCAAACAAGGCCTTTTAAGCTCAATATATTAAAAAGTTGTGTTGAGAGAGGTAGCAATACATTGTGAAATGACAGAATTGAGTGCTGAAACTTCTGCTGACAACAAAGTCACCTGCCAAGACCAAGACTCACATTTTCATATAATCGCCAGGAAAGATTAATCCGAGAATATTTTCAACCCCAGCTTTGAACGTAGGCAGCACTTGATATAAACTGAAAAGCATACTTGTGGAGAGCAGGCGAGAGAATACATGCAGAAAAAATCCTTTGTTTATAATCAAAACACGGTGAACAATTACTCTTATAAAATTAATTGTCAGGAAGAAAAAACTCCAAACACACCGAACGGTGTCACTACTAAGGCTTCCGCAGCAATCTCAGGTTTGGAATCAGAAACACACAGAAAATTACAAAGTCACAATATTGCTACATCTTTCATGTGCATTTTGCAACACAGACACAACTACAGAAAATATGTGAATGACAACAAATAAATAAAAACGGATTTTGAAACTGAGCAGTCACAAAAATGGGCCAGAAATAGAGTTCAGGTTTAATTCGCTATTACCATATGATCTGGGGGACCCTGCATTTTCTTGGTGCGATTACACCGACTGAGTCTTAAACTGTCATTGCCATTCACCCTTATAACAGTGGCAACCCGAAATAGGCAGCTGGGGAACGCCAGCAACTACCTCAACTCTTAGGCTGGATACAAGCCTCGAACATCGGTTTAATAGCAGTTGCATAATAAGACTCAAAAGGCCAAACACTCCTACTGCCTTACACATCTCTATTTCCACACGAATGAGTGTGGAGCGAAAGATCTGGACGAAAACTGAGCACTACCCGAGCTACCACTAGCAAGCTGGTTATTATGCAGCATAGGAGAGGAAAAAACAACACCTGGCGCACCAACAAGCAGACACCCAGTGAATAGGTGGATCTACGGAGAGATATCTTCCCTTTCCCTTCCCCAATAGGCAATCCTTGATGGGTGTGCCAGGAATGGGATATAGGGGGGAGGAGAAGAAAGGGGGTGGGAAGTGGTTGCCGCTTGCTGCAGCCAGCCTGAGCAATGGTTAGGTGGTTAATCATGGTGGCTGAGGAAACACCGGGTCACTTCTCCCCTTTCCGCCTCCCTTGTCATAACGACGGTGGGCAGCGCGGCGGAGGCACCCGCCGTGCCACCGCCACCAGCCGAGGGGGGGACGACCCGGACCCGGCGCCGCTCGCACGGACCCGCCGGCGGCAACTCAGGTGGGTCCCGGGCAGAGAGCATCCCTCAGCCCCCGCGCCCGGCGGGAGGGGCCCGGGGCACCGCCGCCCCCTCCCCCGCTCCGCCCGGCCCTGCCCGCCTCCCGCTCCCCTCGGGACTCACTTGCCGATCACCTCGCAGAGCTCGTACACGTCCTCGAACAGCACGTCGTCGTCGGCCATGGTCCGGGCCGGGGGGATCAGCCCAAGAGGCGGCGGCCCCGGGGAGGGGGAGCGGGGGGGAGGGAAGGAGGAGGGAGAGGGGCGAGGGAGGGGGGAGGGGGGACCGCGGGCACGGTCCCCGCCGCGCGGCGCGCTCCCCCGCCGGTCAGCGCCAACCGCCACCACCACGGTAAATCCCAGCCGCTACGGCAAGCTCCAGCCGACCGCCCCGGGGGGCTCCCGCGGCCGCGCCGGGACTCCCCGCTCCTCCTCCCGCGGCCCGCAGCCGCCGCCGCCGCTCCCCGCGCGTGTCACACACTCCGCGACCCCACCTTCCTCCGCCCCCCACCCCCCTCCCTCCCTCCCTCCCCTTCTCAGCCGGCTACTCCCCAGCGGCAGCGGGCGGGCGGGCAGCTCCGGCTTAGCGGGGCGGTGCCAGCTCCATGGAAGGGATCGGCGCGGTGGGGAGCGGGCAGCGCCGTCTCGCTCTCTCGCCGAGCGGGCGGGGGGTGGGGGGGGGGCTCGTCGAGAGAGAGGATAATGGTGGGAGGGGGAGAGGCGGGGAGCTGCAGGCGCGGCCGTTGATTACGCTCCCATGCTGGAGGAGGAGGAGGAGAAGAAGCAGCCGCCGCGATAGGCGCTGGCTTTACTGGAGGGCGGGAGCGCGCGCGCGCTCCCCGCCACCGTCACGCAAAGCCGTCACGGCGCGCGCGCGCACGCACGCCCAACACGCGGGGGGCTGCGTTTGCTTCCGCTCCCTTCCACCTCCCCTCGCCCCGCCAGAACCGCGCGCGAGGCCACGCCCACTACCCGTTTTGGAGGGGTGGGGGGGTGTCGGTCCGGTGTGCGCAGGCGTGGACGCGGGTGACGTCATGTGCGGGGAGTGGGGTTCGGCGGCGCGGTGGCGGGCGCTGGTGTTGCTGTGCGTGAGGGTGCGGCCGGGCCGGGGGAAGCGGCAGCGGTTAGGGCCGGGCTCAGGTACCGACCGTCCTTATCTTTTCCTCCGCCGTCCGGTCGCTAAGCGCTAGTGGCTTCGCGCTGGGCTGGTGGCGTTGCCGAAGGAAGGACCGGCGGCTGCTGAGGCCGCGGGGGAGCGCGGCTCTAGGGCTGTAGGCGCGTTGGCAGCTACGGGGAGGGAGGCAGAAGGCCTGGTGCGCCCTGACAGGGTGGCGATGGCTGCCGCTTGGGCGAGGGGAGCAGCTTTTCAGCCGCACGCAAGCGTGGTTTCTAGTGATGGGCGTCCCTTCTCGTTTCCACCGTAGTAATAAAGAACCTTTGTGCAGAACTGGGCTTGGAGAGCTCTAAGGGCGGTTGGAAGTGGCTTTTTTTCGGGGGGTGGGGTTTCGCCTAAGAGGATATAAGCATTTTCTGGAGCACAATTTGAGCATTCGTTGTTATTAGGAAAACTGTTATCTTCACATTATTGCTAAAAACAGGGAATGAAAAGAACCTTTCAGAAGTGCTTTCAGTGCTCTTCCAGTTGGTCTGTCATTTCTCTTAGTACCTACATGTAAGACGCGTGGTATGTGTCAGAATGCTAAGTACTTCACCTGATCTGTTGTGTTACATGATTTTTAACATGTTGCAAAGAAAGCTGTCTGTGAAAGTTGCAAGTTGCAACTATGTGCTTTCCCAAGTTTTGAATTGTGTCTGTAAAAGAAGGCAAAGCTCTTTTATAGTAATTAGTTGGGAACTGTTGCAGTTTACGAAGTGTTTATTTTTTGCCAAAGTACTTTAGCACACATGCAACTTCTTAAGTCATTAACAAAGCTAAATTATACAGTTTTTCCCCACACAGAGGAAAAAAAGCCTGTCACAGCAGAATTATCTGATGAAATGGTTTAAAGGTTAGATTTAAAATGCAGAGCTGACCACACTTCACCAAGAACACCTTGTTCCTCTCTCCACATAAATTCAAAAGAAAAAAAAAATGAAGAAAAGCAGTAAAAATTGCTCCATTTCTCTATTGCACAATGTTAAGATACAAGGTGAGAGACATTCCCATGAGGCTGCGCTCTATGTCATAAAAACCTTTTAAAAAGATTTAAACACTATCTGCTCTTTGGAAAAGACAATATATTTAGATTGTTCCCCAAATTTCATGCGCAAACATGGGTAGACATTTGGCCTCACATAGACCTCACACCAGTGTGTTTTAGAATATGGGTGAGTATTCGCTTATGTTTTCGGCTGAAATTGTCATCTACTATGAATTCCTGGTGTCCTCAACGTAAGAAGGACATGGAACTGTTGGAGCAAGTCCAGAGGAGGGCCATGAGGATAATCTTGGGGCTGGAGCACCTCCTGTACAAAGATAGGCTGAGAAAGTGGGGTTTGTTCAGCCTGGAGAAGAGATGGCTGCATGGAGACTGAATAGCTGAAGGGGGCCTTCACGGGTGCCGGAGAGGGACTCTTCATTAGGAACTGCAGTGGTAGGACAAGGGGTAACGGGTTAAAACTTATACAGAGGAGATACAAGTTGGATATAAGGAAAAAATTCTTTACTGTGAGAATGGTGAGGCACTGGAACAGTTTGCCCAAAGTAGCTGTGGCTGTCCCATCCCTGGCAGTGTTCAAGGCCAGGTTGGACAGCATCTTGGGCAACCTGGTCTAGTGTGTGGTGTCAGTGCCCATGCCAGGGGTTGGAACTAGATGATCCTAAGGTCCTTTCCAATCCTAATCATTCTACAATTCTACAATCTGACTATATGTGGAGCTGTCAAGTTAACAAGAAATAATTATGGAAAGATGCTGAGAAAGAATGCTCATAGCAGATTCCTTCCTAAGCTGAGGCAAATGCTTCTGCCATCCAGGAATGCCAGTTGACAGATGTTTTGCCTTCCTCTGGGTGCTAAGTGCTGAGGGTCACACTAGGCCACAACACCTGTGTGTGACAGATTAAACTGGAAACAAGGAATACCAAGCATAACACAAGGGGGGCTTTGAGCCAGTGTTGTAATAGAGCAAACCCTTTAAGACTTTTGGAGGGTGGTTGGGTCCATTTGGGGGTGGCACAGCACATGGGATGGTTTTCTGCTAAGGGATGGGGTTTCACAACGCAGGGTTGGAGAGTTGTGATGGAAAGGTAGTTTCTTGGAAGACGGTGAACAAAAAATGGACTTTCATGAAGTGAGGTGCTTCATTTCATTCACTGGCATCTAGCTTCACTGAAGGGCCCTACTGCCTTTCAGACTTCCTTTCCCTTCCCTTTTTTACCCTTTCTGGAGCAAAGAAGACCTGCTTGTTAAAGGAGCTGTAGCCCTTGTTGCTTAGGCTAACAAGAAGCAAAGCAAATCTGTCAAAGCCTACAAACTGTGTCAGTTGTCCACGTTCAGTACAGGGGAAGAGTAAAAATGTGTTTTACCTACCATTGGAGTTGCAGGAGAAGAACTTGTCTGAACTGAGATTTGTGTGCAGATCACTGAACCAGCAAAAACAGCAAGGATACCACTGCATCAGCAATTACGAGAACAAATGAGAAGTTATGCTGTAACTCACGTTCAGATTGAATGGGCTTGACAAAATACGAGCATTAGTTTGCCTGCAGTCAATACCCAGTAATATGACCATCCAAGCAATGCATACACAGACATGTCTGTGATTGTGAACACATGCCTGCAACATAAGAAGGATGTGAACCTGTTGAAGCAAGTCCAGGAGGGCCATGAAGATGATCAGAGGGTGGGGGCACCTCTCCTGTGAAGACAGGCTGAGAGAGTTCGGCTTCTTCAGACTGGAGAAGAGAAGGCTCTGGAGAGACCTTCAGGGAGGCTTCCAGTGCCTAAAGAGTGCCTACAACAAATCTGGGGAAGGACTTTTTAAAAGGGCATGTAGTTATAGACAGGGTGGGGGTAGTTTTGAGCTGACAGGAGGGTAGACTTAGATTAGATGTAAGGAAGAAATTCTTCACTGAGGGTGGTAAGGCACTGGACCAGTTTGCCTAAAGAAGCTGTGGCTGCCCCGTCCCTGGCAGTGTTCAAGGCCAGGTTGGATGGGGCTTTGAGCAACCTGGTCTAGTGGAAGGTGTCCCTGCCCACAGCAGGGGGACTAGAACTGGATGATCTTTAAGGTCCCTTCCAACTCAAAACCATTGTGATCACCATTCTGTGATGAATTTCAGCTACAAGTTCGAAAGTGGTCATTCCCCTTTCCCAAGCAGGCATTCTTGTTTTTCACCCACGTATCCAATACATCTTGCAGATTCTTGCTTTAGTATAAAAGTTTTAAGTTCAAGTTCTGAAATACGTGTATCTAACATCTTACTAAAAAGTACGTAACAATAATGTTTGTCACAGAAGCAGAAGAAACTTCACACTTGAGACCTGGAATGATTTACTGGCAAAGATAATGGTCTGAAAACAGTGCAGGGCATCACTTGTTTCAGGGCTGGAAGAGGGACTTGTTCCTAGGTGAACAGCAAGAAAAAGGCACTGATTATTGCCTTCCCTAAACCTTTGCCCACTACCTGTCAGATTCTGAACTGCTAGGTGAAGGTGTGGTAAACCACTATTGTTTCATTAGAAAGTTTATTTTGAAGTCCTAAGAAAAAACCGAGTGTGGGCTTGGGCACTAGAAGACTTATTTCTTAAATTTCATGGGGTTCTCAGGTTTTGTTTGGCTGTGTCCTGTGCAGGGTGTGCACATACAGTCTGCACACTGTTAGTGAGTGTCCGCTTAAACCACAACAGTGAGCCATAGGGAAGGTAAGTTTCTTCAAAGTTTGCTTATGGAATTATAATTAACAGTTAGTTACATCCAAACAGCCCTTATAGTGTTCCCATTTAAAAGTATGATGTAAAAGGTATGTGACAATGAACAAGAAATTTCCATGGTTTGATAGTTAAACCTTCCTACCAAAAAAGGTAGGAAGCACCAAATTCTGTGCCTTAGGTTCCAGGTACAAGTCATGCCACACTGTAATTAAGGAGGCTGGTTTCCCAAGACTGCATGTCTTAACAGATGAATGATGTTTGTCTAGGAAGATAAATCTCCATTTTTCTCCTTAGTGGAGGTGACTTTTTTAAGTTCCTCCATGGTGTCAGTTCTCCATTGTTCAATGAGAAGTGGACTTTCACTGCCACCATTCCTCATTGAGGACATTATCAGGTCTCTTCTTTGCAGCCCCCTATCTTCAAAGGAAAGTTGGAGCTTATCTCTGAAATCTGTACCTTGCCCCCATCTAATTCTGTTGAAACAGACAACCAGGTCCAAAAGTTCCTGGGAAATATACAGGCTTGTATATACGTGTGACCATGGTAAAGCATAAATGTCATTTCTCAGGCAACTGGCTAAGAGCTGCCTCTCTTGAATGAGGAATTCTTTTTCACTGCACTTCAGACATGGGGACCACATCCCCTTCACCAGACAGTTGGCTTATTCTGACCCAGCCACCCAGCTGCGAGAGAATGTCAGTTCAAGTAATCAGCTGAGTCGTGGTCAAGGAATGGTAAGGGAGAAAGTCATGTTCCTCATCTGTAGTTAGGCTGTCATCATAATTAAACATAAATTACAGTAACACTGCTGAAGATAGTAAACTAAACCAAACCCAAGCCTATTTGACACTGCCGAAGAAGCTCATGGTCACCATTCAGAATTGATTTCCGAAGGTGAAACAGTCTCAGATAGAAACAGCTGGCAACAATAAAAACAAATAAACAAACAAACAAACATAGAAATTACACAATCCCCACTTAGTGGAGTTGCTTTCTTCACTT